TTCTCACAGATCTATGCATAAAAGATCTCTTCAATTTTATATTGTTATAACTTTTCAATTGGCACGGTTCTTCCTGTGAAGTTGTTTAAAGGAAAATTTTTGGGGTGAAGATGCAACACTACATCCTAATTTTCTACCAATCCATAATTCATGCAGGATGACTGGAACTAGAATTGATTAACTGCCTTTTGTTTGTTGAGCAATAGAGAACAGGAGGCACCTATTAAAACAATAGATTGCAAAATCCAGTTATGAAGAGTTTCATCCTGCTGTTAAATAAAATAAATGGGTGCTGGTAAGGATGCCAGGATACATCTCTTGCTCATTCTTCACTTTGTGTGCATATTTCTCTCCTTTGCCATTACTTTTATTTATCTAAGTAGGTTCTGAGTTCAGGTTCTCTCCATCGCCTGGTTGTCTGTGTATTCCCTGTTAGGATTTAAGTATTTGATGGCTTTTTGGGATGTTCCATTAAACTTGAATGGCCTACATAGAACTCGCACAGCTAGGTACTATGCTGAATGAGACAGTTGCCAGTAAGTAAAAATGCCTTCTTTAACACTTGAAATCATTTAACATGTCCATAAGTTTATGTAAAACGAAGAACTGCAGAGCCTGGAGGTCTGAAACAAGCAAAAACAGAAATATGGTGGAGAACTGAACATCTCTGGAGACAAAACAGAGTTAACATTTCAAGTTCTATGATCTTTCTTTAGAACTGAGACCTTTCTGAAGAAGGTCATTTGCTAACAAATATAATCCAGAAAACTTACTCTGGAAGTCACAAGTATAGAAAACAACATGCCTCTCTTCATCTATGTAATCAGCAAGAATTTCAATTCCTGATTGCTAACCTGGTTAGAAAATGCATACTGAATTGCACAGAATTTTACAGCACTGAAAACCAAATCAATCTAACTGTGCCAGTTTGGGAATGCCATGAAAAGTAAAGAATTGGTTTGTCTTTGATAAAGTACTCCTAAGGGCAACAGCTTTCTGATATGCACTGCCATTGCTCACAGATTAAGAATTTTCCACTTGAGCAAGGTAATCTGACAAGTGTGCAACACAAAACACACCCAGCAAAAAAGTCAGGAGAGGGTAAAACTGATAATTATGTAATTATTAATGTTAAACTTGTTTACACTTTGACAGATTAAAAATGAAGAACAGATGATGTGACAAATTCAGTTTTAAAAACTGCCTCAATCTAAGACAAAGACAATAAATTTGTAGATATCTGAAGCAAGCAAAATCAAATTTCTGGGAAAAATCAGGTCTGGCATTGTTTGTGGAGAGAAAACAATGAACATTTCACGTCTTGTGACCCTTTTGAAATGTTTATTAATAATGAAATGTAATCTTTTGTCTTGGTTTAGATTTCTGTTGTGGCTGGTATGCTTGCCGAGCTGGTTCGTTAGTTCACAGATGTTTCATTACTCTTCTGGTTCGAACCAAAGACCGCTTACCCACTATGGACAGAACCAATGTGATATACAAGATCCCACACAAAAGACTGTGACAAACATTACATTGGACAGACAGGAAGGAAACTGGCCACAAGAATACGTGAACACCAACTAGCAACAAAAAAACATGACCAGTACTCATTCGTCTCCATTCACATGGATAAGGAGAACCACAAGTTCGATTGGGACAACATCAGGATCTTAGGACAGGCCAAACAGAGACAAGCCCGGGAATTTCTTGAGGCTTGGTTCTCCACTGAGAAGGCCATCAATAAACATGTAAAATTAGACCCTATATATACACGACTGCGAAGAAAAAACAGAAATGAGGTAACCAGTTCCAATGGACCCCAGGGTTTAAATACCAGGCAGGAAAACACAACAGTGCTTTCATCGGAGGCTGCACTGATGATGTCACCCAGCAGGGTAATGCAACGTCTGTGAACTAACGAACTAGCTCGGTGAGCGCACCAACCACAGCATCCACAACCCAAGCTACAAATGCACTCGAGAACCTTAGTGATCTGTTA